TTCTGATGCAAACTAGTGTTGGCGATCCTTCCGCGATGTGCCTCGAGGGCTCTTTTGCTTGAAGCGCCCATACTAGCTGTGAGTCGGGATGACTACTCGACGATACCCAGCACTCCTCCCAAACAACGGTCGGAAGTTATTGAAACCGGTATAGCTGCTGACACGGAGCAGGTGATGTTGTCTTTAGAGTCCTGGCAAGCTGCTTTTTGCCGATTCACGTGCAGCCTTTTCTTGTCCTCCAGTACTGACTGCAGCAGTCCAACAGTCAACAGCATCCGATGAACCGACCCAGATGTAGACTATCACTCTGAAGCCATCCTCTAGACAACTAGACAACAACCACCGCATCCCACTCAAAACGCCCACCGTCTGCTGCCAGGGCTCGCATTCCACCGCTTTGTGGCAAACGGCCCTTGCAGCCTCCCGCATGTCCTTCCCGGACCCAAGCCTGCAGCGCGCTCATTTTACTCAATGATATTGGGTTTTGGGGATTTGTGGCATAGGCTTGACACTGGATTCGGGAAGAAGCTGCATAGATGCCCAGATGAGGGCAGGGTCCAACACGATCTGTTTGCTTGACAGGCAGCGTGGACGCGACCAGCTTGACAACCTCCGCATTTGGGAAGTTTCCTTCTGAGACACCTGAAACCATTGCGAGAGAATGCTCACAGGCAGATGTGCGTTCCATCAACCAGGAAACCTGGCCTAAGGCAGGGCGTCTTCGACTTCGACGGTTCGCTGCAGAGCACGAAGCCAACAAGAAGAGCAACATCGAAGGCACGCTGTTGACCACATCATGAATTCTAAACATCACTGCGAAAAGCGCAACGTATACGACATCGAGACTCCTGATACTAGCCTGGACGTTCTGACAAGCTTGCGGATGAGGTGATGCCAAACCGAATCACTCGATGGCTCATGCAAGTCACCATCGCAGACCAGCAGGAGAAAATCGGATTCATCACACCTTGGTCAGCAGCACCCCGACATTGAGTTCAGTCTGAATCCTATGCCAGCTTTACCTCCTTCACAATCTCAGAACAAAGTTCAAACCCACTCCGTCATAGTCAAGTGTTGCAAGAGGAAGGTCTTGCGACAGCTCGGCCTGAACACCGGAAGACCGAATCTGTGACCACACCTTGCGCACGACCTCCAACAACCGACGACAAGACCACGAGAGTTATTTTTGTCACCAGCACGAGGGAGCCATCAAACAAAGGGGCTCGAAGTGCGACATCTCCGGGTCCACGGTCACCGGACGATCCTGTGAAGCCAACCAAGGCGTGTGGCCACCCCCAACTTCAGGGCAGCCGTTGCTGCTTTCGGAGAGGGATTCTTTTGACGTCACAAAAAGCCTGGCGCCGAGACCAAAGCCAAGATTGTCTAGCCATGGCTGTCGTCGCCTTCGGGATGTCCCCGGCAGAATTATCTCCGGATGTCACAACCACACTTCCACACTAAGTTGAAGGGACAGTACGACGATGATCACAACAACTCAAGCGATGCACTTCGAGTGCGATATCTCGTTGCATGTCCTCCGGGCCAGGTCCACCCGTCATCTTCTCGTCCTGCCAGCTTTCAGGACATGGATCCTCTCAGCAAACTTTTTGCTGCCAGCCGACGGTAGTTAAGGGCAATCGGCGGCAAAAGTTGCGCGACTGTTCGAGGCACGTCCCTGGTGAATCTTGCCATTGCCGTTTTACATGGTTGTTTCCATCACCCTGGGCCAGAGACTCCCAAACCCACTTTTCTCTACATGGCCAGCCTTGTCCCCGAAGCCTCGGCTGACCGACAAGTTGCCATTGACCTGGTAGGCATGTCAGATACTATAGCATAATACAACATGATATGGCGTAAAACAGCATAACATAGCATACGCTTAAATTTGTGCTGATTCATCTAGCGTGTTATAATGTAATGGAAAATGACATGATATGATGACTCTGAATGTTTAGGGCTTGCGGCCTATTCAGCAGACACATAGAAGGCAAACTGAAATCTCACGTCTGATAACACTGCCGACCAGAGAATGTCGCAACCAACAACGTTCACCAGGAGCATGAGCTGAGGCAAGAAACACGTGCCACGCCGCCATCTGCAATCTCAACCTAGGCGAGCACGTCGTATCCCCAAGAGTGCAAAGCACATGGCTGGACCGTCGTTCTTGGGTTAGCCACATGGGCTGTTTCTGCGACAGTCTGACAAATCGCGAAACATCAGCAACCTTCAGAATGCCGGCCTTGCCACCACACCGCTCAATGCGTGCCTGGCAAGTGCGGATTGTTTTCGTGAGGTGGCGGTTACTATCGCTTCGGCCTTCTCCGCTGGGTGGTCAGGCTTGTGATCCGTGGTTAATCCTGCTTCCCAGTGCCAGGGATGGAAAACAGCTGCACAAGCATACTGAAGACCTCACGGACTGCGCTCCTTTGTCTGTGCCACCGCCGTCCACTATGCTGCCATCACGCTTGCCTAGCAGCGTCCGGCTGTCGCCAGCATTGATTACGTGAAGCCGATGCTTTCCACCTGTCGTCAAATGTGTCAGGTGCGCAAAACTAGGTCCCGAAACTTGTTGGTTGATGTTGACCCCTTCGCACGAAAAGCCGGCCAGGTGTCCTGCCTGCTTCTTTGGGCTTTCGCACGATGCACATGGTGGCAGTCGTGCCACTGCTCTGCGCTGAGTCCAGAAATTCTTGGTCAATCTTGATGAACCTGCGTGCTGCATCAAGACCTGACACCTCTGGCAACGCCCTTCGGTGTGTCACTTCATGCCGTTCCGGATTATGCCGACTGGACATTCGACACGCATGCAACTAATCAAACCAGGTGTCCAGGTGTCCATGGCTTACCAGGTGACAGCAGTAGCAGTGTGGAAGAATGTCGTTGTCTCATCATGCGTTTGTACCGGCAGTTGTCAGGGGGTTGTCAGCAAAACCCTTGCTTCAGGCTCTTGTATGCTCCTGTTCACACCCCTCCAATGTCCCAGTCTCGCCATCATTCCAAAACTGATCTGCAAAAACTGGAGTGCCAGACGAGGCGCAGTTTTTTAACTGCCTCGTCGCTGTCAGGACAGCCATTGGCTTCAATTTCTTCCCGCAGCCTGCCACAACAACACTCACTTCAAAACACACAGGGCGAAGCATATTATAAGGGTCGGAACGACAAGACATAATTGTGCCCCAACACTTTTACCACACAGATAATCGAGGACTCTCTCGTCGCTTCTGTCGTGCTCGGCCTTCTTGCAGCGAACTCCGAACAAGCACCTGCTGGCGCTGCGAGTTCTCAAGGGAGCCGGCGAGTTTGCTTTTGCAAGCGCCAGCACCGCTGCCTCCACCATGTCCGTCAAAAACGCCGAAGACCCCCCAGCCCTCACCGAGCCTTGCAGGGAGTTCTGGTTCTGGTAAAGCTGCTTAGACGCATCTAGGGAATCTAGGGTACCATGCTTGCTGAGCGGTACTGGGTGGATTCAGAACCTAAGCATCCTGCACTCGGCAACATGAAAAGGACGCCCTGCAACGAAGTCCGACAGCTCTGCTATCACGGGGAAGTATTGAAAGTGCCTTGGGTTCCTGGGCGATTGTCAAATGTGATGCGCCTACATGAAACCACAAGGTAAGCCGTGGCCATGTCCACTTGCTACGTGAAAGAACTCAGGTACATGATTGCTGAATTGCACTTTCCGAATAATGAAACCCCGAAACCGCATGCTTTGCTGGGCCCGGGCATGATCAAATGCGCATCCTCCATGCTGGTTCGCCAGCCGTTCCTGAGTGGGGCAGCTATTGCTCAAGAACTCGCAGTGCTGGGCTTTCTTTCGCACATGTTCACAAGGCAGCACCCTCTGGCTGAGAAGTTCTGCATGCTGGAACAACCGGAAAGGTCACCTCAGATTAAGTTTCGGCATCCAACCTTGAGTACAACAATGTACTCGAGAACACGCAGCATGCCGAGTGTCATTTCAGCCACGGCGACATCAAACTCCCCCTGGCGGACACGAAATCGCCAACGCAAACATGACAAAGATCTCCCAATATTCAGCATGTGCTACGTACAGGAGATGCTGCACGCACAAGACCCATCCTGCAGCAGGACCTGCGGTGCTGGTGACTCAAAGCTTCCAGTGATGCATGTCGCTTGGATGACAGGTTTCGACTGGAGACGTCAAAGACCAACCAAAGTCAGCGATTACTGAGCCATTACCCACTCACGGACTCGAAGCACCACTCGCACTGCAGGTGTGCAGGGTGTTGTTTCCATCAACTTCTTAGCAGCACATCAACCAAGCTCCAGACTCCAGCCCCCGATCGCTGGATACGCGTCGATACTGGGAGAGATTATCTGTCATGTTGTGTTCTGCCTGCTGGCACCACGGAATTCACATTTGAGGTTTACAAGATCCTCCATCGAAACTTTTCGACATGATTCGTCTTGTCATCTTGTAAACGCTGGAAGCTGAACTCTCAAGTCTCGCTTGCAGCCAAGTAACTGAACCTTGCGATTCAACCACCGTTGATTCAACAGCTTTCGGCAGCTGCGCGCCCATTCTGGCGGCAAATCCGAACGCCTGGCTTGCTCTGCGACTGGTCAGCACAAGTCCCCAGATCGTGGTTCCGAAGAGCAGAAGGAATACGGATGTCATGCTGAACCCGGGTAAGACTGACCAAACAAAACCGAAACCAATAATCACTAAGTCAGTAAACTACAAACGCCTCTTCCTACACCGTCCTTCCCCTTGCTCACTAAACTAGCTGCAGGCTGACTTCGCCAAGAATCAGAACAAGAGTGGCACAAAGCAAAGGCAGCCACGGGGAGGCTCTGAACCGAAACGGCTGAACCAAGCAAGACTTTCTCTGCTCAACACATCTTGCCTGAAAGCGAAAATCAACAACGACGGCGAAAAGCAGGCACTCTTTTGTCCTTCGATCCTGATCTCTGGCTGCCATTGCCAAACAGGAGCTAGAAAGTGAAACAAAGGGCCATCTCCGGAATGGATGGGCTCATCAGCAGGGGAAGTCCAAGGTGACCGACAGCTGCGCTTCCTCCTCACACTCCCCTTCAGAGAGCGACAAAATAGTTTCCACATCGCTGCCATCTGCTTTCTCCGTGGTGGGCGGTGCAATGCCAAGGTGTCTGCTCTCTCTCCTGCCACCCACCGTGACAGGAATGGTGCTGCGAAGAAGCGGGGCGCCGATCCGGAATACTTTTGTCCGTATCTCAGATGCACCCCCCTCTGAAATGGTGCAATGTGCACTTGGGGTAGCCAGACCTTCAGTTGGAACTGGTGCAGGGGCTCCTGCAGACACCGGCATGGCTTTGGCAAGGCCGGCATTGCTTGATTTTCTCGGATACCCTGCAGCTGCAGGTTGCTTCATATCACTAGTTTCGCCTTGTGCCGAATGTTTCAGCACTGTGGGGTGAGGCATTTCCTCTCTCCCCACCGAATCCTCACCGCCAGAAACAACGTGCGCTACGTGCGATGGTGGTCTCACCGCAGTACTATCGGCTTTGGACGGTGCTGACGCAAGGGGCGCAACTAGCTGTGGCGACACGTGCGTCTCGTCCAAGACCTGGCCTGTGCTCTCTGCCCGCCGCGATGCTGCAGACTTGGACTCCAAATCCGACGAAGCACCTGGGCCCTTGGTTGTGGACACTGCAGGTGCCAGTGAAGCCCCATATCCAGCTGCGCATCCTTGCGCACTATCAACTTTGGGTGACACAGCATATCCAGATGCACATACTTGCGCGTTGTCCCGTTTGGGTGAAGGCAATGGCTTGCGAAGATCTGCTTCCAAAAGGTCTGCAACTCCCAAGGCGCCTGCAAGCCTAGCCCTGCTTGACATGGCGCAACTTCCAATTCCTGGAACCGCTCATGGCTGAAACATGAAACAATGCCACTATGCCTCCGAGGTAACGGCACAAAACTGAACATGTCCTATGGCTGCGCGGAAACCACCTACAAAAATGCAAGGAATGAGCAACAGGTGCTCAAATCCTCGCGAAAACACACGATGAAATCCAATCTGGTTGCAGATCCAAGGCATACAATGTGCAGATATGATGCAATTGATAAGTAGTCAAGCACGCATAAGCCGCATAAGCACGTCTCATTGTCAGTGCCGGCTTAGGGTTCTGCAACAACCCCACAAATCAGCGTCCTTCTGATATAAATGCACGTTTCCCGCTGCATGAAGCGGCGCCCATGTTCGCACGAGTGCGTCTACGGTCGCCCATGGGCGGGGAGCCGCCGGCGTTGACGAGCTCTCGCACCCTCACTCGCAGGAGGGATCTTTTGTGCACACACCTTTTCTCGTCTTCCAAAAAGTGCGGTCCTTCGTCAAGCGAAAACCTACCTACCCCGGCCCTGCTCGCGGAGGGTGCGCTGGACAATGCTGAAGAACCTCTGATAGAGTTTGGCGATGATAACATGCCGATCTCTTTCAGAAGCCCCACCATCTATCCATCTTTTCATGCAGTGCTTGCAAAGGAAAGAAACAGCTCTGCGGCGAGGCCATGCGAGGCATTTGAGAATCAGCGAGCCCGCGCGAGGCGAATTGAAAATCAAATTCAGTGTTGCTGGGGGCAAGCAATGCGTTACAGGGTCGCGCACGTGCGTTGTCGGAGCTCGTTGCGGTGCGTGTGGTGCGGTTGAGGCGGAGCCGCCAGCCGCAATAGTAGTGTCAGCGCGTCGCTTCTTGTTGCCGATGTGTTCCGACATGGTGTGCAAAGGATGCAAGGGGCGCGACAAAGGAACTCTATGGCTGTGCAGTGTACTGAAAGGCATTTGCAAGCTTAGTCAAGTTCATGCAAATAGCTGCAAAGCAGATCGGTGCTTTCGGGTGCGCCTTCGACTCGGGCAATGCGTCGTTCGAAGCTGGCAATCTAGGCCAGGATGCTCTGCACCTTCGCGTAGCGCAAGTCGATGTGCTCATGCAGAGTGGTGTCTGCTTCAAGCATATCCTCTGCTAGAGTTCGCAAAGAGCTATGCGAAAGTGCAGAGTTGACAATGCTGTCAACGCACGCGGCCATGGCTGCGCGCTGAGGGCTATGCTATGCGATGCGAAGCAGAATGATTGGTGAAAACTTTTACGACTGCGAGTTTTGCAAGCGATGCTATGTGTGTCTTTTTGTTTCCGCGCACCTTCTCGATATCCGCACAAGGTCCAGGTCCCCGTGCAACCTGCGACCTACGGGCCCAGGGCTGGGTGTGGGCAGGGCTGCGTCATGCAGCACGTCCACGAGTGGCGGGTGGTGTGCGCCAGGCAGGGCGCCAGCGACGTACGGCGCTCCGAGCAGCGTGGCAGCAAGTGTGCATTGCAGAGCCACGCTCAAGAAGCCCCACCAGCGCCACAGCCAACTGTGCCTAGCTGCAGGGCGCAGGGGCTTAGCTTGGAAACCCTTTTCAGCACAGACCCAGCTTTGAACACTGCACGTGACATCTTTTTTTTTTTCACGCACCTTTTTGAAGCC